CAAGCACAGCTACGGGACCCAGCAGCCGCGCGCCGCCATGCTCGCCTCAGTCCTGTTTACCTGCCTCGGCAAGGTCAAGGGACAGCCTGCGCCTACGCCGACGGTGCCAGACCACAGCTTCTACGTCTGCCTGCTGACGTTCGCGCTGGTCCTCGGCATGACTATCGGGTCTGGCATCTTCGTTACGCTCTGGACGATCATGAGGCAGAACAGCATGATCGCCACCGAGGAGCACGTCGCCGAGGCGAAGGAAATGGGCGAGCATCCCGGCTGGGACGGCCGCGTGCATGGCTGGCGCCGTATTATTCCAGCTACAATCCCCGAGGATCGCGATTGCGACGGCGACGTCACGATGCACCCCTCGGATGGACACAGTGCGCAGGCATCGAGTTCATCAGCACCGGCTTCAGGCGCATCTTTCGGACACCACCCATTGCAGCCGCCGACGTCAGCACTGCCGCCGCCATTGCCGCCGCCAGAACCACCGCCTGCCAGCGCGCCACCTACCGCAACATCAGCACGATCGAGGTTAGCGAGATCTCAGAGTTTGGGTACAGCCCCTACCTCACCAAGTGTAGTCACCGCATCGGGTTCATCGAGTTCAGTATCTGCGAGTTTGGTTTCGTGGAACGGTTCCTCACGGCATCGTCGAAGGAGATGCTCAACTGCGCGACCGCCGCCCCCCACCATAATTTCAGAATCGCGCCAAACCCGCGCAGCGTCTACATGGCCTGCAAGACCTGCAAGAAGCACTCGCCATGGCTTCTCTGGTTCAACAGGCACAGCAGTCCCGATTTCACGAACTTCCCCGAAGGCGCGGCGGATGATCTCATGAGCCATTGGAGGAGGCTCACCGGCAGAGATTGCTGGCGCGGACCTGACCTGATGGACAAACCGACGAAGCCCAAGAAGGAAAGATTAACCCCGTTTGGTGCCCGGACGGCAGGTTGGCCGGTCGAACCAGCAAATATTCTGTCGTTGCTATAGACGGTCGCCTGTTGCGACCCCGCCTACGTAAGTCCGCATTGTGCTGCTCAGTTTTCTCACCCGGCTATTTGCACGTAAATCCGCATAACTGCTCTGTTTACACACCCGGCTAGAGATTTTTGTAAGTCCGCATGGCTGCTCTTTTGTTACACCCGGCTAAAGATTTACACGTAATCCGCATGTAGAGAAGCTTCACTCAGTGCGCACAAGTTGCACAGATGTGATGACGATCGCAGCCATTCCGATCTTATCTCGGTAAGATAGTTGTTGTTTGGGGGTTCTGTCGCTTCACGATCGAACCCTTGTTATTGCTAGCCTTGCCTGGTTTTGATTAGGGCGCCGGCGGCGCTGGGGGCTGCGAGTATCCTGCAGGTCGCGCGTAGCGCATCCGCAAGGGGCTTCCTGCAAATGCAAGCCGCGTCGAGCCGTTTGCTTGCCTTCTGCCAGCACGCCTGGCACTCCGCTCGCTGACGAGCCAGGCCCATCTGCCCGGCTGCTCTGGCGCCTCAGCCTCGTGCGCCCGCGCGCCGTGCAGGAGGAGTGCGATTCCAGGAGATTCGCCCTCTTCCGCCTCGCTTCCGCTCTGTCCCTCATGCCCGCCCGGCTGCAACCGTTTTCCCTCAAATTAGGGCTCTTGGCTCATTGAGCTACGGTCTCTGCCGCGCAGAGTGCGAGAAAGCATTGCCAGCGATAAGTTTCCATATCACACCCTTCGTGGCCCCGTTGCAGCCCTTCGTGGCCCCCTCGCTGCCCTGTCTGGCCCCGTTGTAGCCCTTCGTGCCCCACTCGCTCCCCTTCGTGGCCCCGTGACAGCCCTTCGTGCCCCCCTCGCTGCCCTTTTTGGCCCCGTTGCAGCCCTTCGCGGCCCCCTCGCTGCCATTCGTGGCCCCGTTTGTAGCCCTTCGTGTCCCCCAGCGCTGCCCTTCGTGGCCCCGTTGCAGCCCCTCGTGGCCCCCTCGCTGCCCTTCGCGGCCCCGTTGCAGCCCTTCGTGGCCCCGTGGCAGCCCTTTCGCGGCCCCCTCGCTGCCCATCGTGGCCCCATCTATGCATGCCCTTCGTGGCCCCCGCTGGTTCGCGCCCGTCGTGGCCCCATATGCATGCCCTTCGTGGCCCCGCTGTCGCCCTTCGTGGCCCCCTCGCTGCCCTACGTGGCCCCGTTGCTGCCCTCAGTGGCCCCGTCCTTGCCCTCCGCGGCCAAATATACGCATGCCCTTCGTAGCCCCCGCTCGTTCGCGCCCGTCGTGGCCCCATGTGCATGCCCGTCGTGGCCCCGCTGTCGCCCTTTGTGGCCCCCTCGCTGTCGTACGTGGCCCAGTTGCTACCCTCAGAGGCCCGGTCGTTGCCTTTTGTGGCCCTGGTGGTCCCCGCTCGTTTGCGCCCGTCGTGGCCCCATGCGCATTCCCTGCGTGTCCCCGCTGTCGCCCTTCGTGGCCTACTTCGTGCCCTTCGTGGCCGTGGCCCTGCTGTCGTTTTCTCTCTCGCTCTCGCTTTCGCTCGTCGTCGTCGTCGTCATCGCCGCCGTCGTCGTCGTCGTCGTCATCGTCGTGGTCGGTCCCCTGTCCGTCCCTCTTGGGGTCAGGTTGCCGCCGATCAGCGCTGCCGCTGGCCAGGCCGACGGTCCGCGGCCGCCCCGCCGGTTGCCGGAGCCCGGCCTGCAGGGAAGAATGGTATAACCCCCAGAAATGGCACGATCGAAGACGAAGAGGGCGGATATCGAGGGTCTTGGGAAATACGCGATGACGGACACTCGAGCAGATAAGAGCGAACATTATTAAAATGGTTGTTGTTGTAGTTGTGAGTATTGTTGTTCTTGTTGTTGAATATTCATTTCTACAGAATGTTCTGCTGGTATCCGGAAGCGGTTCCGCGTGCTCTCGCTCCGACGCCAGCTACACTTTCTCTGAGCCTAAATGTGGGCCCTTGGGGGCCCAGCCACGACAATAACCGTTCCCGCTCGATACTTCGTCACAACTTTCCCCGGGACACCCTGGCCAGAGAGGCCCACGAACTCAGGAACGGCGCTCTTGCTCGAGATTCTGTCGCAATTCAACTAAGTTGGCGGAGGCACAGCCACGACGACAGGGGCTCCTACTCTCGATACGTCCTCACGATTTGCTCCGAGAGCCCCTGGCCAAGAAGACCCCCGAACGCAGGAACAGCGCTCTCGCTCGAGACTTTCCCGTAATTCAGGCAAGTTGGTGAATCCCAGACACGGCGACAAGGGCTCCTGTTCGATATTTCTCCATCGGTATTCCGAGAGACTTTTGGCCACAGAGGCCCCCGAACTCAGGAACGGCGCTCTCACTCAAGACTTCTTTTTCGCACTTCAGTCAGTGGCCGACAAGGAAGAGATTCCCCCCGAAAGGGAGTGCAATCGAAGACGAAGTGGGCGGATATCGAGGGTAGGGGTATACCGAATGCAATACACGCGTGCCGGTAAGAACGAACAGTTTTGATATTATTGAATTCTCACTTCTGAAGAATAATTATTGTTGATCCCCCCCACTGGTGCATACTGTGTTTCTCAATCAAAGTGTGCCCCTCGACGCTCGCACCTTGTTTCTTGACAGGGAAAGTCTTGGTGCTCAAACTAGGCCCTTGGCCCCCGGGTTAGAACAACAACAACAACAACAACAACAACAACAACGGTTCCCGCTTGAGACCTCCCCACAATTTAGCTAGGACCCCCGCTCCCGCCCGAGACTTCCTCGCATTTGATTCACGAATCGCGCTCTCGCTTGGGACTTCCTTACAATTTTTCATGGAATCGTTCTCCCGGCGCTCTGGAGTCGCGCTCTCGCTAGAGATTTGCTTGCAATCTACTGAAGACTAGCGCCCTTGCGTTGGAATTTCTTGCAATTTGCTCAAGCGCCGCGCACTCCCGACACCCAGGCACCCAGTAGTCGCGCCCGTTGTGGCCCCATGTGCATGCCCTTCGTGGCCCCGCTGTCGCCCTTTGTGGCCCCCTCACTGTCCTACGTGACCCAGGACCCAGTTGCTAACCTCAGTGACCCCATCGTTGCCTCCTGTGGCCCCGCATTATCTGCCCTTCGTGGTCCCCGCTCGTTCGCGCCCGTCGTGGCCCCATACGCATTCCCTGCGTGTCCCCGCTGTCGCCCTTCGTGACCTACTTCTTGTCCTTCGTGGCCCTGCTGTCGTTCTCTCTCGCTCTCGGTTTCGCTCGTCGTCGCCGTCGTCGCCGTCGTCGTCGACGTCGTCGTCGTGGTCGGTCCCCTGTCCGTCCCTCTTGGGGTCGGGTCGACGGTCCGCGGCCGCCCCGCCGATCAGCGCTCGCTGGCCAGGCCGACGGTCCGCGGCCGCCTCGCCGCTTGCCGGGGCCCGGCCTGCAGGGAAGAATGGTATACCCCCCAAAAGGGGTTCGATCGAAGACGAAGAGGGCGGATATCGAGGGTTTGGAAAATACGTGTTCACGGACATTCGAGCAGATAAGGGCGAACAGTCTAAAAATGATTGTTGTTGTTGTTGCTGTTGTTGTTGGTGTTGTTATGGTTGTGGTTGTTGTTGCTATCGTTGTTAATGTTGTTGTTGGTGGTGGTGGTGGTGTTGTTATATATGTTGATGTTCTAGTTGTTGGTGGTGGTGGCGTTGATATTGGTGTTGCTGTTGCTGCTGCTGTGTTGTTATTGTTGCTGGTGTTGTTTGCTTCCTCTGAAAGAGCTACACAAGCGGAGGGAAAGTGCGAGGCAGCCGCCAGGAAAGCCGTCATTTGCCTTCAAAGTGGGCCAAGGGCGCCAGCATTCTGGGAATTGCATCCCCTCAGGCCGCAACCCTAAGCGCGACCATGTAACAGTCGACGTTGGACCTTGGGGCGAGGCGGAGCCTGAAGAATAATGGAGTTCAACACAGTTTGCCTAATGTATGCGTGCAGAGTGATCTGATTTTAGAAACCCTTCCCCATCCCTTCCTCCATCCCTCCCTACCCCCCTTCTCCTTTCATCCTCCTCAACCCTGCCCTCCCTGCCTGCCACCGTTTGGGCGTGCTGGGCGCCGAGGACCTACGCGCCCACCTCCCCAGCGCGTTCTCTTTTTTGGACGAGGCCAAGGGCAGCGGCGGCAGGTCGCTCTGGTCGTCGCCTCCGCCGCCGTTCTGGATCCCCGCATCCTGCGTTTCCTGGCCTCTTCGCGTCCGGTCGAAACACGACGGAAGGTTTTTTACAGTTCTTCGTTTCTGGGTTCTGTCACCCAGCCTTGGGGTTGTGAAAACAAAGTTCCCGATGAAATGTTGGTCCCCGGGGATGGGTCCGCATTTTTTGTGGGACACGTTGCGTAAAAGTAACGACGTCGGATGTGTGGGTCTTCCTATTGTGTCCTACCTCGCCAGCCTACCTCCCCCTTTTGTCCGCCTTCAAGCCTTCCAGATGAGGGCATTGTCAAGATGATGTTCGGTGTCTTGCGTGCTCCACCCCAGATACGCCTCCTGGGTGGGCGGTGGAACCTGGGTTAAAGGCAGCTCACGTGTGCGATCGAGAAAGGACTCCACCCTTCCAGATAGGATGGGTTCCCCATCGGCGTGAGGCTTGCTCCCGGGGGCGGTAGCAGCAGCAGAGACCCGAGCGAGGCCCCCTACCCCAGTTGGGTGACAACCTTGGCCTGGCTCTCGGCGGCGGCGGCACAGCCCCCTCTCCCGAACACCCCCTCCCCGCCTCACGTCGTCGTCCCCCCCTATCCCCTCATCGGGCGTCCTCAGTGGTTGTCCGCGGCTCTTAGCGAAGACGCCTACGGCGAATCACCGCCGCCCGCTGCCTTGTGGGAAGCGCCCCTGTGGCAAAGCTTGGGCCCCAGCTTGGCCAAGCTATCGGACTATGTGTTTCCCCAGCCGCTCTGGAAACTCTTGGGGGAACACTTTGGGGAGGATGAGAGGGAGGATCAGAGGGGCGGAAAAGGAGGCGGAGGAGGAGGCCTCTGCGGAGGCTCTTGGAGCACTCTTGAGGCCTCCTGAGACCTTCCTGGTGGCCTTTTGGAGGCGTCTTTGGGGCCTCCTTGGGCCTCTTGGGAGCCCTAAAGGCTGTCTGTGGGCCTCCTCGGCAGTCTTAGGGCGTTCATGGACGCCGCCGGGAGCAGTCTTGGGGGGCCTCTCTGAACAGATGTGGAGCCCTCTTGGGGTGCTTCATGGCCGTCTTGGAGGCCATCTTGGGCGTCTTGGGAGCCTCTTGGGCCGTGTTGGGGCCGTCTCGGCGGCCTCATGGGCCGTCATCGGGCCATATTGGAAGCTTCTTGTGCGATCTTGGAGGCCTCTTGGGCCGTCTTGGGTTGTCGGAGGGCCGGAGAGCAAATACAACAATCTTTCAAACACTTAACACATGAAAGATGTTGGACTCTTCGGCCTCCCTGGATACCCTTTGGAGGCCTCTTGGGCCGTCTAGGAGGCTTCTTGGGGCCGTCTTGGACCATCTTGAGGCCATCTTAGGCCGTCTTGGGGTGCATCTTGGGCCATCTTGGAGGCATCTTGGGGCTAAGGACCATCGTGGCCGTCTTAGCGGCCGTCTTGGCCGTCTTGGAGGCATCTTGGAGGCCATCTTGGGCCATCTTGGCTGTCTTAGAGACGATTGGGCCTTTGGAGGCCTTTGGGGCCGTCTTGGAGCAATCTTGGGGGCCTCTTGGGGCGTCTTGGACCGTCGGAAGGCCGAAACAATGTAAGCACCAGAATCTGTCAACAATAGCTTTGCTTCTTCGGGCCCTCCTGGAGCACCTTTTGGAGTCATCTGGAGCCGTCTAGGAGGCCTCTTGGGGGCCTCTTGGGCCATCTTGGATGCTTGTTGGGCGAACTTGTAGACATCACGGACTCTCTTGGTCCGTCTTAGAAGCCTTTTTTCACCATCTTGAGCGAACTTGAGAGACATCTTGGCCGTCTTGGTGGCAAACTTGGGCCATCTTGGAGCCATCTAGACCACGAAAACCCCTTGTGGTCACCTCGTACGCAGCCTTCGGATGGCCAGCGGCATCGGCCGAAGCCCCAGAGGTAGTTCGAAAAGAACCAACAATTTCCGAACATCCACCACGCTTGGCACCCCTTTGGCAAGACCACAGGCGGCGGCAGACGAATGGCCTTCGGCCAAATCTGCCACCGTGCCTATGCTGTGATTATGAAGAATATTGGATGTGTGTTGGGACCTCGTGGGAGGCCTCTCCAGGGCCTCTTGGAGGTAGTTTGGAGGCCTCTTGGGGGCCTTTTGGGAGCCTCTTGGCGTCTTCTGGGCGCCTCTTGGGGCCTCCTAGGGGCTTCTTGGGGCGGCAGGCTCAGATGCTCGGTTCGTGTTCCCTCTATTGGGCTCCTTTTGTGGCCGTCTTGGGGCCCTCTTGGGCCGTCTTGGGCGCCTCTTGGGCCGTCTTGGGGTGCTCTTAGCCATCTCAGGGCTCTGGGCCCTCTTGGAGGCCTCTTGAGCTGTTTTGGGCTGGTTTTGGGTGCCTCTTGGGCCGGAGCGTCGGAAAGCCGAACAGGCGAGAACGCCAACATCTTTCAGTGGGTGGTGCCTCTTGAGGTCCTCTTGGGAGTTGGATCGCACCGAGTTGAATGCGACGCCACTTTGAACACACACACACACACATATCTATATATATATATATATATACACACACACACCGTAGAAAGGGGCTTTAGCATGGGCACCAATCGTCTCCGCACTGGGGAGCGGTACTATCCCCAGGCTGGCGCGAAGAGGCCCTGTTCCATGTTGCGTTGGTTCCAAAGAAAAGGTTTGAGGAACGGTGTGAGGGTGGGGCAGTTGGAGAGAGGTGTGAATTGCGTGAGACGGCAATATAGAGAGAAAGAGAGAGAGAGAGAGAGAGAGACAGAGAAAAACAAAAAACAATATATATATATATATAGAGAGAGAGAGAGAGAGAGAGAGAGAGAGAGCAGACAGAGGGAGAGAAAGATGGAGAGAGAGAGAGAGAGAGAGAGCCTGAGAGAGAGAAAATGTGGGGAAAAAAAGAGAGAAATAACAAAATCATGGAAAGGGGACAGTCGGCAGGAGGAAAAGGAGGAGGGAGGAGGAGAGAATTTCGGTGAGTTTCAGCAGCGACGATGTCGATGAACACCACTAGGGGAACGCCAGATGGGGGATTCTGTCCGCCCAAGCTAAGCACCGAGCCCGAACTCCCTCCAAAGCCTTCATCACCGCCGCGAGGACGCCGTCATCGTCGCCCATCGCCGTCGTGATCAGCATTGGCGCCGTCGCTGGAGCAGCCAGCATCTCTACTATCATCATCGTGCCTACCGCTGTCGACGTTGCCATGATACCGCGCCCGCCCAAGTCGCCGACTCGCAGTAAAGTGCCTCGTGGGATGTGCCCAGCGGTCAGCGCCACCGCGGCCGCGTCGGTCGCGCCAAACTAGCTGGCCGCTGCGCGCGCGAGCATGCGCGGGCTAGCGCGGCCGCGGAGATGCATCAGCCAACTCCATGCACTCATCGAAATCCCCTCCGCTTGGCTTTTGCAAACCAAAGTCCAGGTGGGCGGGTGGGGTGATTGCGCAAGCAGTCGATTGGACAACCTCTTGCGAACAGACATTCACTGCATCACGTCGATTGCACCACATGGAGCGCGCCGCATGAATTCCAACACAAGGTCTGCACAACACTGCTCTGACCACATAGATTCTCATTTCCCCCCCCAAAAAAAATGACAACGACCACCACCACCCACGGGATCGCAATGTACATTTGATCATGTGATTCTGCCCCAACCGTCCATCCGAAACATGAATTCGCACCATTCCAGCCCAGCCGGCATCGACCCCCTGGTATCTTCTGCCAAAAGATACGCGCGCACATTCGTTAGTTTACCGGAAACCATGTTTTGCCAAATGGACAACAAAAAACCATAGCACCATAATTGGACGCAGTGAGCACGCGGGCGTCGCCGCGCGCGCACAAATCTGTCAAAAGCCCTTGGCGCCGCGGGGAGTTTGAAACCGCGCGCCCGAGAACACCAAGACAATGGTTTCGCAGCCGGAGCTTTCAAAACAAAGTTTGCACGCGCGATTGTGTGACATCATAATAAGAAAACCATGCGCCTGTCAGCATGCCCACCAAGTTCTACCGAGCGTGCCTCGTGCGCGCATGTTCCAATCATTCGAACGGCATGCGCGCGTGCTGTCGCGATAATCGTCTGCAACATATCGGACGAAGTTCTCGCGCGCCGGCCGTATCGCGCGCATATATCGAAACCCATGTTTTGTTTTATGTACAGGAAAACGCAGGTTTCGAACGGCATTCAAAACCAAATGTCCCGAAAACGTTGGGGAAAAACATTGATATTGCAACACCAGCTTTCGAAAACCAAAAGCCTGTGCGAGCACTGTTTCGAAAATTGAAGAGACAAATGTTGCAAACCATTTTTCCATCACACTCGGACAAACAGCCATTGCGCGCGCATGTCGGAATCATTAGACTGTTTTTTTTGCGCGTGCTGGGCAGGGCACGGCCCTTGTTTTTTTGGTTCATATCATGCGGGCCACTCGCGTGCATATGCCGCGCGTGCATGTCGAGAAACTTCGAAAATTCCCACCACCGGTTAGAGAACACCATCATCACCGTCATCGACCTGATCAGCACGATCGAACCACATTTATTGTATTCATGCGTTGCACCACCTAGGTTGCAGCGGTTTGGTTTCGTTGCACGTCACAGTTCTCCGCATTGAGATACAGTAGGCAACTACCGCTGTCAGGGCCACCAACCTCCCTATCATTTTCTTCACCTTTTCCCATTTTGCGCTGCGGTGGACGTCGTTCGGCCTCGCCCTGTAGTGTTTCGGACGTTGGGGAGGGCCGCTCTGCGCGCTGACGCTGGCCCGCCGAAGCGCTGCGGCGTGGCGCGATATTTGAGGATGTGGGATTGCAGCAGGAGGGCTGGCAGCAGGAGCAGCAGGATCAGCAAAATGAGATGCGGAGGAGTATCTGGTAGCAGCTGGCCTCCGTTGTCTTCGTCTTTCGTCACCCGTTTGCAGGCGCCGCCTTGCAGCGTCCCCCGCTGACCAGACTGCCACCCAGGGAGCGTGAAGCGGAGGCGAAAGCGGATGCTGATTGAGGCGCGAATGGAGGAGCAGGAGGAGGAGGAAGAGGAGGAGGAGGAGGAGGAAGAGGAAAGCAAACAATGACATAAACATGCGTTTTGGGGGGTCCGCGCGGATTTTTCGGATTCGTGTTGGAGCCCCCCTGCGGCCCCTCCGGCACCGCCACTGGCGCGCTCCACTCGCCAGGGAGGGAGGAGGGCCAGCGTTGATCCAAGAAATCCGCACGAACCGTTCCAAAGGAGGCGGAGGTTGCGAAGGACGCGGCGGCGGCGGCTGAGAAGGCGGAGGGCCAGCAGCGACGACGGCGACCTCGAGGTGCGTGGTGCACTGCTTTGCGGGCGTCAGCCGGTCGCCCGCCGTGGCCCTAGCCTACTTGGTGGTTCGCGAGCGACGGCCGCTCGCAGACGCCTGGGCGCTGGTGCGCCGCCCGCCAGCGCGGGGGGCGCTTCGTGGCTGCGCGCGCGGGCCCTCTCGACCACGGAATCATGGCGTTGCAATTTGTTCACAAAGGACATGTTCGCCCAGCTTCGGGCCCCGGGACCCTCACAGATCGATGCGGGTCGAAAAAAGGGGGCTGACAGATGATGTCCAGGGCTACGGTGGTGATTTCTCCGATTTTGCATATGTTTCGAGACGTCGGATGTCAGGGGAGGGCCGAGGCCCTCGGAGAGGCTCGAAGTTTGCGCGTGCCCCCCTCGGCGAGGCCGCTGAGTTCCCCGATGGCCCCGTCAGCGAGGCCGAGGCCTCCAAGGACCCCGCCGCCGCGGCCGAGGCCCTCGGCGCAGCTTGGGCCTCCGATGCCCTCGGAGAGGGTCCGATGCCCGTGGTGTCCCGTTGAGTGAGATCGAAAGTGAGATCGATAGTGAGACCGATAGTGAGATCGAGAGGTGTCCCGCGGTGTCCCGTGGTGTCCCGTGGCGGCCCGTGGTGGCCCGTGGTGTCTTGTTGAGTGAGATCGATAGTGAGATCGATAAAGAGAGCGACAAGTGTCCCGTGGTGTCCCGTTGAGTGAGATCGAAAGTAAGCTCGATTGAGTCAGATGTTGGTTTCCCCCTCTCCCCCCCCACAAACTTCTTATCACCCGAAGGGTGGTCGTATAGGTATATATGGCTGTACTGATGTAGAGCACAAATATGTATATACAAAGAAAACTGACCTGGTACAACTCCTGGTCAGTCGGGGGAGCCCGATTCCGGAGCGCCCCAGGAAGGCCCAACACGGCCCCATATGACCCCAAGACGGCCCCGGGAGGCCTCAGGAGGGCCCCCATACGGCCGCGATGGGCCCAAGATGGCCCAAGATGGGCCCAAGCTGGCCAGTCCACGGCCCAACGGGCTCCCCAGATGGCCCATGAGTGCCCAAAGACGGCACGTGCAGCAACGAATTGCACAGGAGTCGAGTTTTTTGGACATCGATAACGAACTACACGCTGGCAATGACGAGCGAACAGACACAAGACGATTTTTGTGTAGCCAGGGACCCAAGGGCACAGTTTGACGCCCAAGAAGATCCCGGACATAATAATTGGGTGCGAGATCGCGCTCAAAATGTAAAGAACACCTGGGCACCCGTGGGGGGAATCTGCAATTTCTCCGACGGTAGGACCCCGCACGTTCGTCTGTTTAGATTGCCTGGGAAATTCTGCAGTGTCCCTCCTCCTAACTCCTCCTTTTGCTCCTGCCTCATGATTTTCCTCCTGCCTTTCGGTTGTTCCTCCTCATGCCTCTTCCCAATCCTATTCTTGCCACTTGTCGCTCCCTCCTCCTGACCCCCCGACGACGACGACAACGACGATGTCGATTCCTCGCGGTGCGCCAGGTCCGCGAGCGCCACACTGCCGCGAGGCCCAACCGCGGCTTTGCGGAGCAGCTGGTGGAGCTGGACCGGGAGGTCCTCCTTTTCCGAGACGAAAAGGGCGGGAGAGAGGGAGGGAGGAGGGAGAAGGAGGAGGGTTAGGAAGGCGACGACGACGAGGAGATGAAGAGGGAGGAGAAGGAGAGGACGTGGACAAGGAGAACGGAGGAGGAGGAGGACGAGGACGCGGATTGGCGTGGACGGACGTTCCTCACGCGCCTGCCCCAGTGGACACCCGTTCCAAAGGTGGACGGGTGCTGGGTTTGCGGCAGAGAGGAGGAGGAGGAGGAGGAGGAGGAGGAGGAGGAGGAGGAGGAGGAGGTGAGTTTCAGCACCAAATTGCGATTCCCCGGCGTGTCCTATTGGCTGGAGTTGTCCTGTTGCCACTTCGGCCGAGACTCGAGATTCGAGGCACGGAGCGAACCCTGCCGCGTGCCATCAAGTGTCATCCTGAGCTCGAAGTCACCCACGACTGGGTGCAATGGGGGCCTCTCTTTCGACGTCGTACCTCAAGAACCTCCCCCCCCCCTCTCCGGCGAAAGTATAACGCACCCGGCACCCCAGAAGCGTTACCCTGGCACCTCGCACCTTTATGTGAACGCAGACGAGTGTGCTCGCCGAAACAAGCAAACCGCATTACTCGCATTATTATGACTAGTATTATTACTATTCGTATTACTCTTACTCTTACTCTTACTCTTATCCTTACTAGTGTTATTATTACTTGCATTTCACTCTCATTATTTTTATGATTCCAGTTCCAATTGGGATACCACCCGAGCCTGGGCGCGGGAATTGTTTAGTTTCGTTTCGTTTGCGCGGTGCTAATCATCTCGTTCGGCGAAAACCGCCTCCCCGGAATTATTTAATTACGGTACTGTGCTAATGATAACCCCGGGGGGTCCTTGATGGCTTCATGAGGTTATCTGCTTTCGTGGCTCCCGTGCGAGGTCCAAGCCGATTGGAGGACCGTGCCCAGGGAAGTCTCGCCTGGACCAAGGGATCCTGGAATCCTCTGGACACCGTGTCATTGCTTATTCCTTGCAGTGACAAAAGCAGCATGTTTCTCTGCACGCCTCTAGGTTATCATAACAGTATGCCATAATTTCAACATAGACTGCTTAAAGTATTCAGCCTTCGCACTGTTACTCACATTGGCTATCAGGGTTGATTCTTGTCTGCGCAGGATGTCAGAAGCGAGTGCGGCAGGACGGGTGGGCAGGCAGTTGACACCGTCGAGTAGCAACTCTGAGGCCTCGGACAAGAGTCGGCGAGGGCGGAAGCAGCGATTGCAGAAGGAATGGAGGATTACGATGAACGTGAGGCGCCCATGCCGAGTTGGGCACGAATGCTCATGAACAACATGCACAGTGGATGGGATGACAGATAAAGTAGAAAGGGCTGTGGTAGAGGCAGCTGGGGCCAAGACAGCGGCGAAGCAGGCATCACTTGCCGTCAACGGTCTTGAGAAAAACACGGTTACAAAGCAGGGGTTGCGGGAGTTGGTCAAGGGCCTCTTGCAGGAGGGTCCGACGATTGCCGCCGGCGTGCAAGTTGCGGGCGATCCAGAGCCAGTCATTTTTGGTGGCTTAAAGGGCGCGGGCGCAGTGGAGGAGGCGGAGCAGCGGGCGAACAACAAGCTCAATATTACAAGGCCGCCGTGCGTCATCAACCCTTAATTCAAGAGCGAGGTTTTAGATAGCATCATGTTTGCACAGTTTCCTTCCAGGAAGATTGCTGACGCGGCATTCGAACATTTTCCGGGGGAAGCAGGCTACATTCAAGAAAGCCGTAGTTTGGTGCAGCATTGACCGCCCCTTGCACGTACGTATCTCCCTCAAGCTCACTTTCAAACTCGAGGAAAACTTGGGCGATTGGGGGCCCCAGAAACGCAACATCACGATCGATGGGGAGAATACTGCTCTAAAAGTGGGCGGGACGATTGTTACCAAAGCGCAACAGCGTGGGGGAGCTCGGACGGTCAAGTGGCCGAGAGCACAGAGTGGAAGGATTGGAACGAGTTGCAGGACTCGCACGAGCTCAAGGATCTGATCCAGCAGTGCCAGACCGACTTGGCATCAGCTCGCATCTGGAAGCGCAAAGGGCTAGGCAAAGGGAAGCCGCAGCCAGCCTGACTAGCAGAAGAAAGCCCAAGGAGCCGGGAACATAGGGCCGACATGCATACGAATTCGGGGACAGTGAATACGGGCGGCGGACTCGGAAAGTATGTTCGAGCAGATGGTTGTTTCCCTTCATGTTCACAACGTGCGGGCTCGGGCCAAGAGGGGGACGGACTACGCTTGCATGGCCCTTGGGACCCGAGCGACAACGTGGCAACACCCAGGGAAGCCATCCAGAGCAATACCAGTTTTACCATTATCACAGACAATATACATTCCATGGTTTTCGTTCACGACCGCTGGAAAGGATGCTTAGTCGGACTTGGGGGTCGCAGATAGGATATCATTGTTGTTCGCAGAGACGTGGAGGTAGGACAAGAAAAAACATGGGATACGACAGGCGGGCATCATTTGTTTGGCAGCGGGGGGGCGCTTCGGAGCGCTAGTGTAGGTTTTCTGTTACATCGACGTTGGGACCACATGATGTTCAAGGGGAAGGACGGAGGAGGAACGCAGGAAACAAAGAAAGGAACTCAGGGAGGGAAGGAGGAAAAGGAGGAGGAGGAGGCAACATGATGTTTTCATCCCGGAGGATTGCTGGAAGTAACCGTTTGCGGTTGTTTACCCGAAGTAGAGATGGGGGGGGGAAGTGCAAAGAACGGGGGGGAGGGCAGGAGAGGAGAGACGGGGGGAGAGGAGGAGAGTGGAGGAGGAGGAGTGGGGCCTCCCCCGCCCCTCCTTGTTCAGACTCACGGCGCCGCGTCGGCGACGCTGGCCGACTTCGGCTTCGATTGCGGCGGCAGGGGCCTCCCGGGCCGCGGCGCGCCGCGCTTCGACAATAATCAAAGCGGCCGGGTGCCACGCTGAAGCTGCAAGGTGCGGGGGAAAAACCGCGCGGCGTGGCGCCCGCCCACCAGGGCGCGGGGAAAGAGGCGGGGTGCAAGACCAGACCAGACCAGGGGCACGCACACTTACAGCCGCTCGTACGTCAGATGTACACATTCTCACGCACACACATACGCACACATGTATAACGTACACATTCACACACATACAAACGCATATATATATATATATACACACACACGCACGCACGCACGCACGCACGCACGCACGCACGCACACACACACACACACACACACACACACACGCACGCACGCACATGCACGCACACGCACACATACACACAAGCACACACACAAGCACACACAAACACACACACACACACATACACGCGCGCACACGCACACACACACACAAACACACACACAAACACACACAAACACACACACACACACCAGACAGAGCTGGTAGACTGCTGACGCAGGCACATAACACACATACGCAACACATGATTTTCTCAACACCGCAAGGGGGGCGCGGGGCTCCCAGGGCACGGGAGGCGCTTCTCTTTCTCGGCGCTACACGGGAGCGCGGGAGGGGGGCGCCATCCTCTCAGGTTCCCGGCGCGTGGCAAGCGTGGCATTTCCTCGACACCCAGGGCGCGCAAGGGGTAGGATGGTTATCCGTCTTATGCGTCCATGGCGTAGGAGGCGTGGCACGATCCCGATACCACAGGCGCAGAAGGTGGGGTCGATACCCGTCTCAGGCTCCCATGGCTTTTCTGGATGGACACCGTGCGGGGGGCGCGGGGGGTGGGGCCACCATCCGCCCAAACCCCCAATGGTTTGCCAAGCTGGCAACGTTGCGACAAGCGAGAGGGGTGCGCAGGGGTGTGTGGATGTTATCCGCCTCAGGACCCCAGGGCGTAACAAGAATGGCAACTCCCGTACATGGCGGGGCGGGGCGCGGGGGATGGAGTCTCAATTTCAGGCTCCCAAGGGCACGGCAGGCGTGGAATGTTCCCGCCACCACACAGGGGGGGCGCGAAGGGTGGGGTCGTCATCCGCTTCGGACTCTCATTGTTTTTTTTACCACAGGGGGGGCGCAGAGGGTCTCTCCGTCGCAGGCCCCCAGGCCGTCGCAGGCGTGGCATTTCCTAGACGCCAATGCGGGTGCGCGGCAAGTGTTGTCGCCGGCCCATGCTCCCAGCACGTGCACGGCGTGCCCTTCCTCCACACCATCGGGGCCTAAGAGACGGGTCGGTGCAGACGGGGGTCGGCCAGGGCACCGGATCCTGCAGGATCCTGCGAAAACCTTTTCTGGCTGACTCGGTTTAGCAAGCCGCTCGTGGCCGCGAGGCGGCAACGCATATTGGCTGACCTGGGTTTGCGAAGACCTGCGTTGCAGTTTTTGTTCCCCATCTTCTAAATTGGGTTTTTTGTTCCTAAGATGTCTTGTTATTCCCCATAGCCAACGGATGGGGCTCTTGTTATTCACCGACCTCGCTGGACCACCCATACCACCTCCTCCCTTTCTGCACTAGACAATGATGATCACGATGATGACCATAGTATGGTGAGAGTATGATGGTGATGGTGGCTGATGGATGAGTATGGTGATGATGATGTTATTGATGTTGTTGTTGATGATGATGATGATCACATGATGAGCAGATGATTAGGATGTTTCGAGCGGCTTGCTGGTTCTAGCACTCCTAAGGGGGGCCGCCAGGGGTATTGCACGGCCTCCGTTCGCGCCCAAATGGTGGGGGGTGGGGATGTCTCAGGCGGTTTGCTTGTTTTGGTCCGCGACGTCTTCCGTTTTCGGCAGGCTCGAAATCTTGCCGTCGCGACGCGAATCCTACGTGTTTTACGAAGGATCGCGGCATCGGCAGGGCCGAATTCTTGCCGTCGCGACGCGAATCGCACGTTTTTTACCAGGGATCGCGGCATCGGCAGGCCCGAAATCTTGCCGCCGCGGTGCGAATCTTACGTTTTTGTTCCGAGGGATCGTAGCCAAACTGACTTGCACGAGCGGGAGGACCTCTGGAGTGGCCCGACAAGCACTCCGTGCGAGCCTGCACGAGCGGGAGCGCCTCCGGGGTGGCCCGCGCTCCGCGCAAGCCGTCGCGACGTGAATCCTATGTGTTTTACTAGGGATCGCGGCATCAGCAGACCCGAAATCTTGCCGTCGCGATGCGAATCCGTCGTTTTGTACGAGGTATCGTAGCTAAGCCGACAGGCGCAGCCCGATTGAGGCCGCGGCGCGGCCCCCAGGTTTAGGGTTTAGGGTTTAGGGTTTAGGGTCTACCAGGCTTGGCCACGATTACACCTTGACCGCGAACCCACCTGCGGTGGCCGTTACTCCCACCCGCAAGCCACCCCCCCATAAAGATCATTTCTCCCCTCGTTATAACCACATCGAATACAACGTCGACGACGACGACGACGACGACAATCGAGACACACCCGAGAGAACTTAAGAAAACTTCAACACCCGTGTGCCCCATACAAGCGAAACGGATCGGGCAGACGGACCCCAACGAGCGCGTCGGATCGGGTCGGGTGCTGGCACGCGAGTACCCTAACGGACGGGACGGGTCGGGCAGGCAAAACGGACAGGACGGGTCGGGTCGGGCGAAAGAAATGCAAGAATAGACTGCCCGCACACAATCCTTTGTCTTCCAATAGACTTGGCAGGACGAGGATCGGTTATGAGCACACGATACCTCCTGCTGAACAAAAAAACAGCTGAGCGAACATCATAGATTTGACCGCTCCCTCTGCCAGAACATGCGCACAGAACAGCATTGACAAGAAGAACAGAGAATGACAAATGATGAGGCGGAGATGAGTGGGGAGGTAGCTGGCAATCGAGACGCACCCGAGAGAGCTTAAACTTCAACACCCGTGTGCCCCATACAGGCGAAAAAGGCAGACGGACCATAACGAGCGCGTCGGATCGGGTCGGGTGTTGGCACGCGAGTACCCTAACGGACGGGACGGGTCGGGCAGGCAAAACGGACAGGACGGGTCGGGTCGGGCGAAAGAGATTTTGCACGCATGCCAGCAAATGATTTAGAATAGATGGATCGGCTCGCAACGGGGGCCGAGCAGTTTGTATTGTAAAATACTAGAGATTCTGCACGCACCCGCAGCATTCTTTATTTTTTGCAATAGATGTAGCCGGTTTACATAACCGGTCGCAACGGGGGCCGGGCCTTTTGTAGTTTAAAATACATGAGATTCCGCACGCATGCTCATCAAATGCTTTTTTAAAAACTAGATGGAGCCGGTTTACATAAGCGGTCGCAGCGGTGGCCGGGCATTTTGTAGTGTAAAATGCACGAGATTTTGCACGCATGCTCAGCAAATACTATTTTTTGCAATAGATGGAGGGGGATCGCAACGGGGACCGGGCACTTTGTAGTGTAAAATACATGAGATTCTGCACGCATGCTCAGGAAATATGTTTTGCAGTAGATGGAGCAGGTTTGCATGATGACCGGTTTTATAGCAATCAGGGTTTAATAATTATAGGATTAGAAATTTACGGTGTAGGGTGTTGCCCGCCAAGCGGTGTGGGCGCGCGCACGCATCCCACCCCCACATCAAGATTGTTGGGGGTGGGATGCTGTGTGCGCGTTCGCGTTGCTTGTCCTCCCGCCCCAATCCACCCCGGCTATTCTCTTTTAGGGTTTAGGGACACAGAGAGTTCTTCCCCCCAGCCCCCACTCATGGGGGTGTCGAACACCACGTCGTCCTACCTGAGAACGCGCAGGCGCTGCAACGCATTGGGGAACAGCCTCCAGGTTTAGTTCGCGCGTTGGGAACGCCCGACCGGGCGATCTCTTCCGACTCTCGCAGGAGCGGTCTTGCGCGGTGGCGCACGCGCAGCGGTTTGCCGGCCAACGAGGTGTCGTACCTTGTGGCCCATGTTACGCTGGCGACGCCAGAACCGCGCCTGCGCGCTCTTTTTCGATGCCCAGGCGCGCTGGCGAGCGCATATGGCGATTGAAGTAAACTTACGCAGATGCCTCAATCTCAGAAGCGATCATGGTGGGCCACGACAAAGGAGACCAGCTCGCCGGACGCTCCGCGGCTCGCGCGCGCGGTTCCCGCGCTGACACCACGTCGTCCTAGAGTCTCCAGGGTTCGTTCGCGCGTTGGGGGACGCCCGACAGGGCGACATTTTCCGATTCTCGCAGGAGCGATTCTGCGCGGTGGCGCACGCGCAGCGCTTTGTCTCGGATGGTGGGAGGGGGAGCTCGAGGGGGCGGGCCTGGCGCCTCGATGCGACGCACCAGGCAGCGCGTCGCGTGCGTCAGCCGGCCGGCCGGCCGGCCGTCCGGCCGTCGAGTGTATTCCTTATCGCTGAATTACGTTGGCGACGCCAGAACCGCGCCTGCGCGCTCCTTTTCGGTGCGCAGGCGCGCTGGCGAGCGCATATCGCGATTGGGGTAAAATTTCGCATGTGCTTCAATCTCAGAGAGGATCATGTTGCGCCGCGACAACGGGGGCCAGTTCGCCGGACGCTCCGCGGCTCGCGCGCGCGCGAGGTTCCCGCGCTGGGGACCCCCTGGGAGCGCTTGGGGAGCCTCTGGGACGCGCGGGAGCGCCTGGGGGCGCGCCCAGGCGCGCTGGGAGCGCCTGGAGAGCCCCTGGAAGCGTTTTCCTAGGTTTTCCTAGGATCCTGGGTGATCTCGCAGGCTCGCTGTGTTTGGGTTCCGGCTTTCGGGTTCTTATTTCCTGCTACGCAGGTAGCCTGTGGCGTAGCCAGCCTGAGGCGTGGCGTGTGGGCGGTCGAGCTTAACCTCTCCCTTTCCGTAGATCCTTCAGGCGCTCCACTGAACGTTCCGACCAAGGCTCGCATGCGTCTGGGGCATCCCGACAGCGACGCATACTCGAGTTCACACTACGTATTAGGGTCTGCGGGGGGTGCTGCGGGCTGCTCGGCGTTGGACATAGGGTCCCGCGTAGAAGCACGAGGTATCGGCCCATTCGGAATGAAAAAATTGCGTTTCGCGCGTGCCCGCTCGAGGATGACGCACCCCAATTACGAATCCTCGTTGCCTAACGAGGTCCGCGAGCCCCGCATTCCATTGTAAAAAACGGTGCGCGGGCACTTTGCCCAGAACCCCACGTAAATAGCGATGTTCGGCGATCCCTCGGTTTTTGTTTTCTCGGGGCCCGATGTCGACTTTGCGCGTGCCCGCTCGCGCGCGGCGCACTCTGGCGCACTCCGAGGGCGCTTCCGTGCGCGCCGGTTCGCACGCGGCGCACTCTGGCGCACCCCGAGAGCGCTCCCGCTCGATAGAAAACTGAGTGAAGTCCCATTCCGCGTGGAAAAATCAACGCTTCGCGCGCGCCCGCTCGAGGATGATGCACCCCCCATATCGAATCCTCGTTGCCTAACGAGGTCTGCGAGCCCCGCTTTCCATCGCAAAGAAACGGCACGCGGGAACTTTGCCCGGAATCCCGAGTGAATCGCGATGTCCGGCGACCCCTCGATTTTCTTTCTTGGCTTTAGGCTTTAGGCTTTAGGGTTTAGGGTTTAGGGTTTAGGGTGTCCTCTGTCAGCGCTTGCTGTTCATCATTCGTGTAAGACCACCCCCACCCATAAAATGGAGCGGGGGTGGGGTAATCGTATTGTGCAGTATCATGTTGAGCGGAATCATGTTTCGGCTACGGGGCCAGCTTCCCTTTTCACATTCCCTCCCCGCGCCCGCTAGGGCGGCGAACCACCCACGGCTTTCTCTATTAGGGTTTAGAGTTCATTTGGTACCCGAGATTTTCTTTCTTTTAGACCTCCACGACTCAAGTCGGTTTGGCGATCTTTCTCATGTGTACGACACACAGTGCTTTGTGTATCACACTCTGGGGTTCGTAGTCGCGCGAGCTCCGTCCTTCGCGAAACGCAGCGACGCGATCCGACGAGTCGGGTCGAGGTAGCGTCGCCGCGCTTCCCGGGGGGCCGCCGCGTGGAGGCGGCCGGAGATGGCCCCCTGGGTTGCTGCGCAGCTCTGGCCGACCCCTCGCGCGCGCTGCTGCAAAGCCTCGCGGCCCCCAGCGACAGCGCGAAAGGTCGGCTAAAGCCGCGCGGAAGCCTCCCCCTCCGCCGCCGAGCTTCCAGACCAGATGGAGGCTCGGCGGCGCAGGCCGTCGTTGCGTCGTCGTCGGCGGCGGCTGCCAGCAGCTGCGGCGGGGTTTCGCGGGCGCCGCCCACCGCGAAGTTTTCCCGCGGCGCCTGTGCGCGCCGCCAGTGCTTTCGGGCCGAGCCCCGAGCGCGCGCCCGCCTACGCGCCCTCCGTGCGCTGCTCAGAGCTGCGCGGGCACGAAGTGTTTCTGCTTGAGGAAGCCCACGAAGTTCCACTCCCTGTCGTGCTGCGCACGGGAGAGAGCCACGTATCCCGCCGCCTCAACGCCAGGCGTGTCCATCCAGAGTGTCATGTGGCTGAGAGTATCGCCCTGCACCTTCATGAGGGTGGTGGCGTAGGCAAGGCGGAGCGGGTGGTAGACGTTGCGCCATTCCTGGTTGGTGTATGGCGCGACCTTGACCATGTGTCCAGTGGTCGTTTTGACCAGGACGCCCGTGTGGTCCATCATGATCACGCGGCCCTCGATGCCGTTGACGAAATCGATCTCGGGGCGAATGTTGGCGGTGAAGCCCACGCGCATGCCCTGGTAGATCGGGAGGCGCATGTTGTGCCAGCTGACCTGCCTGGTGCCGTAGAAGTTGTCGTGGTTGAACTCAGGGTCGGCGTCGACGGTGCCGAGCGGCTCCTGCTCCCAGTCGAAGTGCCGCAAGGCTGCCTGGTTGACCCACGCCGCCTTGGCCCTGGAGATCGTGACGAACGTCGTGGTGGGGTGCGGCTCAAAGACCTGGCCGATCTCGTACTCCGTGGGCTCCTCGCGCTCCCACCAGCCGACATCCCGATGGCCGGCCGAAGGCGCGCGATGGTCCCTGATGATCTCCACAAGCTGCGGCCTGCTCGGCGTGGCCGTGCGGAGGAGCTCGAGCTTCTTCTTGAGAATGGGGCACTTGCAGCGGCGCATGATCTTGAGTTCCCTCACGTCGACGTCGGCCCAGCGCCAGTGCTCGAGGACGCGCGGGCTGTCCATCCAGCGGAGCTGTCGAAAGTCGCCGACGAAGACGAGCGCAGGGCGCCGCGCGGCCGCGTCCCAGAGGCGCAGGAGGCGCTCGAAGATCCACATCTCGACCAGGCTGGTCTCCTCGATGACAACGAGGTCGAAGTCCTGCATGCGCTGGAGCGTCTGCTGCTCCGGGAGGTAGACGTTGAAGGCCCTGTGGATGCTGTCGACGTCGAGGTCGGGCATGTCCTCGCGGTAGCGCGCCACCTGTCGGCGCGTGGGGCAGGCGAGGAGGACGCGGGCGCCCTGGGCAATGGCGTCCTGCATGACGACCTTGATGAGGAAGGACTTGCCGCTTCCCGCGGGTCCCAGAACGGCGATGGGGCGCGGGTCCTCGTCGTCAGACGGCTCGTGGTTGTGATCCTCGTAGTCGTCGGGCCAGGCGAGCTCCACCGCCCTGTGCCAGCGCCTCGTGATGAGGTCGGCGACGGGCATCTGCTCGGGCTCGAGGGTGGTAATGCGGCCATCGAAGGCGTAGTGGTGTCGCGGCGGCTCAGGGTCTTCCCCGACCACGAGGCGGCCCTCCAGGTAGTCGTCGACGAGGGTGATGTGCGCCTTGATCATCGCCACGTTGGAGTCGATGGTCGGGTCGCGGTGGGCCTCCAGCTCCATGTCGGGGCGCAACCATGCCTCGCTCCGCCAGAGGTCAGGGCGGTGGAGGAGGCAGTGGGCGAACAGCCTGTGCCCGATCGGCACGAGCTCCGCGGCATCCTGCCAGAGCTCATGCACGTTGCGGAAGGGGACGTGGAGGAGCATCCACTGGCCGTAGTACTCGTCGCTGAAGCGGGAGTTGGAGCGCGCCGCCACCAGGACCTCGCCGCGCATGGGCACGCGTGCGGCCCAGGTCTCCAGGTCGACGTGGGCCACGGAGGGGTCGCTCGCCTTCTGGAGGTTGGCGCAGCGCAGGCGGAGCGCGCGGTGTACGCCGCCCCTACATGTTTTACTAAACGCACGTTTACATTGCTAGTGCTCCCCCTCTTGTGCCGTCCCTCTCCCTCTTGTCCTCGTCCTCGTCCTTGTCCTCCTCGGCTTCGCCGCCGCTCAAGTTTCGGCTCGAGGATTTCCAGCGAGATCTACGAGCTTGCAGGATTTTTGGCACCGCAGAGCGAGAGGACAGCCCCTCTCGCAGGCCTGGGCAATCGCCACGAAGTGGTGGTGGTACGGCGTGGCCGCGCTCCTCGGGTGGAACGCGAGTGACATCGCAGACGAGGGCCGTCCGCTGTGGGCGGCAGCCGAAGAGTTCGACCCACCCGCGGAGCAGGACTACGAGCCGGCAGGTGACATTCTCGTACACGGCAGCAAGGCATCCGTCCTCATGGCGCCGTGGAGCAGGTGGAATCGGGTCTACTACAAGACGGGCTCCTCGCAGGGCGTGGTGATGCTGTTGGTGTCACGGATCGGCAAGTCCAACAGCACGACGTGGACAGCGTGTGACCCCACCTTGAGGGTCCAAGTCATCAACGTGCGTGACAAGGAGAGAGTCTTTACCAAGCCTGTGAAGGATCTGACCTGGACAGCACCCAGGGCTCAGCGCCGCGAGCAGGGACCGAGTGCTCGCGGCCTCCGAGGGGCTCATAGCCAGGCGCGAGCTGGAGGCCGAGGACGCGAAGACCGCCATCCCCGCCAAGGGGAAGCAGCAGAAGAAGCGCAAGCCGAGCAAGAAGAGTGACCTGTTCAGTTGGGTTCAGGGCGGGGTGATGAACGCCGTGAGTTTCCTCTGGTTACGACGGTCGGCGGGTGGCTCCCTGGCAGTGTGTTTCCTGGGATGGCGGGCCTGGAGGGTGCTGGGGCTCGGTTCTGTCCTCCAGACCGTCTACGAATCCGTGTTGGCCGCGGGTGAGGTTGCTGAGGGAGCTCATGAATGGTATGAGAAGGCCGAGGAGATGTACGAATCGGGAGACCTCGTGCAGGTCGGGATGGCGCTCGGAGTCGGCATCGCGGCACTCTACCTAGGGTACTTGGTGATCAGCAGCGGGGCAGGCCTGGGGCGACTGTGGAAGGCGTGCGAGAGCGACAGCGAGAGCGAGGCCTCCGACTCAGAGGTCATGGTGGGAACGACGGTGGCGGACTCGGACGACGAGCCCGACTCACGGCACTTGTTCGCGGAGCTGGTAAGAGGGCAGAACACACTACAGGCTTCTGTCGCCGCGCTGGCCGACCTACTGGGCCAGAGGGGCAAGGGTGAAGGTGCGCCAGCGTCGGGGGGGTCCTCGGAAGCGCCTCAGCTTCGACAGTGACGGAGACGAGAGTGAGGCCCAGGGGAAGCCCTCCGACGCGCAGGTGGACGACTTCCTACGGAAGCTTCAGGAGCATGAGGAGACGGTGAAGGTGGACTCAGCGGCGGGTACGAAGGGTTCTCCAGGTCCGACTACGCCGACGTCGGGGTCTCCTACGAGCTGGGAGAAGGTGTCTTCGCCAGGCGCGTCCAGTGTCGGAGAGGCCGTGGCACAGCTGGAGATCGAGGCGCGTAACCCCAAGGACGGGCTGTTGGCTACGTTGAAGTCCTACCGTGATGTGGGAGGTGCTCGAGTCGGAGGGGTTCGCGCCAGGGTGGCCCCCACCGTCCTGGCCCGCTTGTATAAGAGCGGGAGAGGGGCCAGGGCCGAGCTGGAGGACTGGCTGCGGTCCAAGGAGCTCACGAAGTGCTCCATAGCCTCGGAGATCTTCATGCTGGCGGCCGTCCTGGACAAGATGATGATGTGCGGGGAGTTTGACACGTTGATCAACTCCCAGGCCGCTGAGCTGACATGCCTGCGCATCTACTCGATCTTCAAGGCCTACGAGAACGTGGAGGTGGAGTCGGACTGGAGGCGCCCCAAGTCGGCCAACGGTTCGAAGTGGAAGAGCAAGGTCAACTGGGGCTACGCTGAGGAGTATCTTGATCTGGCCAAGTCGAATACGCCCGACGTAATGGCTGCTGATGAGGAGGTTGCAGAACGTTTGAAGAAGAAGGCCGCCATCAACAAGCACCTCTCTCTCGGTGGGGGTGCGTCGGGCCACTCGCACGCGGACGATAGGTTGCGGCAGGGAGGGTAGCGGCACCTCCTTGCCAAGCCGGCGCCAATGGCGTAAGTCCGCGTAGCTTCCTCTTCCGTGGGGTCAGTGAAGGTTGGTCGACTACGAGTGGGAAGGACTTCGTTGGTAGGCGCTCGGGCTTGGTGTTATTCAGCATCCTCTCTCTGGCCCTGCGAGGGCACCTGTACTTCAGGGAGGGGACGTACGAGCAGCCGAGTATCTCTCATCGGGAACATGGTGTCCAGGTGTCCTCTGCTTCCTGGGGCAGGAGAAGATGGGCGTCAGCGGGATCCTCTTCGCGACCTTCCCTTCCCACCGTTTGGGGCGGTGGGGTCCCTGGGCACGCAGCTGTCCGAGGGGGAGCTGAGGGTAACGTGGAGGAGGCTTTCACGAGCTATCGCGTCGATTCGGTGCTTGGCTTGTGGGCATGCCCGTGTGGTGGAGGAGTTGCGTGTACGCCCTTGCAAGAGGACGTGGACGTCGGCTACGCTACTGCACAGGACGCTGATCAACAGGCTCTGGGAGCTGCTGGCGGAGCGCGCCAGCTGGTGAGGCATCAACGATGGCAGGGCGGTTCCCAGCCGTCTTGGGAAGGGGCAGTTGATGGGCTACGGGAGGTCGGAGAGGACGACGACGAGGACAGGCGTCATGAAGAAGGGGGACATGAGCGACCTGATCGCGGAGCAGGTCTCGGTGCCGAAGGTCGGGACGAAGGGCCTCGACGTTGTGCGGCTTTCGCCTACGGCGCGGCCCTACCTGGAGAACGTGGAGGGGCTCATGCTGAGGGACGACGACGAGGTGGATTGGGTGAGGTGGTACAGCGACCCTGGGTGGAGGATCAGGTCGAATCGGCTGGCCCTGGCGCTCAGGATGTGGGAGGCTGGTATGTTGAGTTATGTCGACAAGGTGAAGGAGCACGTGGGGGTCTTCACGGTGGTGAAGTCCTTGGAGGAGGGCAGCATGACGGACATCAAGTCCTCCGGGCTGGCGTGGGACTGTCGGCGTCTGAATCTGAGGTTCAGGAGACCACCATGGACGGGACTGGGATCACCGAGTGCTCTGAGTTCTCTGGATCTGTCGCCCGAGGTGTTGGGGGAGAGGGAGTTGTTCTCGTTCGCGGGTGACATCCCAGACTGGTTATACCGTTTAAGGTGGACGAGGTCGCTAGCTCAGTATTGTGTGCTGGAAGACGTGTCACCGAGCGAGCTGTGGGAGCATGCGGAGGGACAGGGGAAGGACATACCCAGGCCAGGCGAAGGAGACCGGGGGGTAGGGGCTATCGCCCCCGTGATGGGGCATTCGTGGGCCGTCTTCCTGGCTCATTCGTGCCTCACCGATTCGATCAAGGCGGTGAAAGGGCACGACCTGGGGGAGCTGGCCTATGGGAGGCCGACCCCATCCTTCGAGACGTGTCAGCTGATGCTGATGCTGTACATCGACGACTACATCGGCTTCAGGCTCCTCGACCCGCTCGAGGGCGATATCGATGTGGACAAGGAGGTGGTGAAGAAGGTGTTGGTGGACAAGGGGCTCGACGTGCAAAAGGAGGAGTGGGGCCCTGGGCTGCAGCGCGGCCTCGGGATCACGGTGAGAGGGCGGCCGTACCAGGTGACGATCCATCCCGACAAACTGAGGGAGCTGGTACTGGCAACGGAGGCCTTGGCGGTGAAGCCCTAAGTCTCTCCTGCGAGGCTCTCGTCTTTGCTGGGCATGTGGACCTGGGCCCTTATGATTTGCCGCTCTGGGTTTGCCATTCTGGACGCGATCTACAGGTGGATCAACGAGCACGGCGACTCTTGGGAGGAGGTGCTGCCCCCCACGACGGATGTGGTCTCGGAGCTCGTGGCGTTGGCCAGCCTCTCGGTGTACTTTACGTCGGACTGGAGGCGGACTGGGCCACGAGGGCTTACATGACGGACGCCTCGGAGTTCGGGTACGGGGCGGTCGTGACCGAGGTCACCGCGACGGAGTGCAGGATGGAGGTGGCGAAGGGCGACCTCCAGACCTGGACCGTCAGGGCCGACGAGGCCTTCACAGCGGTGGAGGAGGAGGTCGCGCGCGAGGGCGAGGAGGACGACGAGATGGTGGGGCCACCAGTGGGACGGCCTGGTTTCCTGGAGCTGGCGAGTGGGGCCGAGAGGATCAGCGACGACGTGGTGAGTCGCACCAAGTCCTGGCGCGAGGCGTCGGACCTCTTGAGGGGCCCCTCCTACGAGCTGACGGAGCCGAGGGAGCTGGAGCTTCTGTTTGGGCGAGTACGTCGACGGTGGTGGTGGTGCACACATCTGGCTCCCTCCAGGTCGCCCTTGGAGCAGCTGATCGCCTTCGAGGTCGCCAAGCTCTTCCACAGGGGGGGGGGCTGATCTTCACGGCGGTGGTGACGGCGGAGGCGGAGGTCGAGGCGCTCTGGGAGGATCTCACCAGGCTCGAGGAGGTCTTCACTTTTCGGACGGCCACGGAGACTGGGTGCCTGACGATGGTTACGAACGACGGGCGCTTCGGGGCCCTGCAGTGCGAGCAGGATCGCAAAGCAGTGCAGGTGGAGGCGACGGAGTTCAGGCACGGCTCGAAGTGGAGGACTACCTACTGCGAGCAGGTGCTGAAGATCGAGCCGCGCTGGGACATGGTCGTTGCGGGGGCCCAGGCGAGGCTGGAGGGTGGCATCCTCAGGGTGGTCAAGAGGCGTGGACAGGCTCTACCTGCCGCGAGGATCTGGACGAGGGTGGATCGCTGGTCTTTACTCTTCAAAGGATTGTGGCAGCGAGAGGAGCACAACAATATCCTGGAGTTACGTACGATTGTGTCCCTACTGCGACATATGTCGCGCACACGGAACATGTGGGGCAAGCGCGTGCTGGTGTTCTCGGACTCCCTGGTGGCGATGGGCGTCCTTACCAAGGGGCGCTCGTCGGCGACGGGCTTGCTGCGCTTGGCTCGCCAGGCTTCTGTTGTGGTCCTCGTTTTCGGTATCAAGCTGTATTTGAGGTGGGTGGCGTCGGAGGACAATGTAGCAGATGGTCCAAGCAGAGCTTTGGACATCGGGGCGGCCGAGGCGACGAAGGAGGAGCACAAGTGGAGACACACGCCGAAGGCCGTCCGCGCCATGCTTGCAAGACCCTGCACTACTGCGAGTACGACGGGACCTACCACGTCGACATGGTGAGTGGTCACCGCGCCGACGAGTTGGGGGAGTACGAGGACGTCGACTACGAGGAGCTCTACTGGACCCTGGAGACGCTGGCGGCGAACCGGGGCGTGCGATCCAGGCCGTCCTGGAGCTGGCTGCTGGTTATCTTGGGCGGCCTACACGGAGCAGGTGCAGCGCTGGCTCTCATCATCCTGGACTTGTGCCACGCCGGGTGTGTCCATGAGGCGTGCGCGGTCCTGGTGCAGCTCGACGGCTGGCTACGTGAGCAGGACTGGGCTCAACTACGGAAAGGCAGCATCTCGGTGGATGCGCAAGGGCGCATGGCATTATTGCTAGGAGATCGAGCGAGAGGGGAGAAGGTCAAGACGGGCTCGGGGGCAGGGAGTGGAGGTACTGATGGAGCTGACGAAGTGCGTGCTGCTCACCCTCGCCGAGGATCTCGCAGATGATGAGCTCGTCTTCCCGATCACCCCCGACAAGTATCGCAGGTGTTGGCAGTCTCCTCTTCAGAGGTTGGGCCTTGAGGCCCTTGGCCCTCCTCATGGCATCCGACACGCGGGTGCTGCTCAGCATGTGGCGAATGGAGGAGAATTGGAGATTGCAAGGAGGAGGGGGCGCTGGACTACTTCGAGCGCCTGGCAGCGCTACACGAGGACGCACGTCTTGATACGGCGGCGCCCCCTCCTCCAGAAGGATCAGATCGTGAAGGGCGAACGTTTTTGGCAGGCCCCAGGCTTGGCGATGGCCACTGCGCTGGGGGAAGTCCAGGGCGGCACGTAGGCCGCTCACCGTTTGCTTGATTGCGGCTCTCTTGCAGCTTTCGAATGACAGCCTCGACCTCGGCTGTGCGTCGCTGCAGGCGCGGCCCGAGGTGGGGCGCCCGAGAACAGGGGGCAGGGCCCTGTTTCGATGCCGTGGCCCCACCTAGCCGCATCTCCTCTCTCTTCACATCTATGTAAGAGTTTGGATTTCGAAGTGCGTTTTCTTTGAGCTTGCAATTAATCTGGGGATCTGTGCCAAAGCTGGGGGGGGGTGATTTTTTGAGTATAATACCTGTATTCTGCTTTTCCCGCCCTCCCTCCCTCTGCCTGCGGTGCTTGTTTCAAAAATTCTGAACGCAGGGCCTTCGGCCAGAAGGGGCTTTTTGGCCTTTGCGGGGCTCGCACTCTCAATTTGTTGTGCTTGATCGGCCCCTGGGGGGCCATGAAGGTCAGGTACCTGTGGGCCCTCCGTGTGGAGGGCTGTTTTCTGCATGACGTTGGCGAGTGATATGAACTTTACTTGGGGCGTAGACCCTTCACTTTCGCTCGTTGCTTGTAATGTGGTCGCTTTCATCTGCTGCTGCTGTGTCGGATATTCATGCTCGGTGTGCCATGGACTTTTTATTCGCCAGGCCTCTCGGCCTCTGCCGTCTGCCCCCGGGCTCTGGCACGTAGGGCCCCCAGCACAGCTAATTTAAATACATGTTTTACTAAACGCACTTTTACATTGCTAGTGCTCCCCCTCGTGTGCCGTCCCTCTCCCTCTTGTCCTCGTCCTCGCCCTTGTCCTCCTCGGCTTCGCCGCCGCTCAAGTTTCGGCCCCGGCCCCCCTCCCTGCGTGGAGGGGCTCGCACTCTCAATGTGTTATGCTTGATCGGCCCCTGGGGGCCCATGAAGGTCAGGTACCCGTGGGCCCTCCGTGTGGAGGGCTGTTTTCTGCATGATGTTGGCGAGTGCTCTGAACTTTACTTGGGGCGTAGACCCCTCACTTTCGCTCGTTGCTTGTAATGTGGTCGCTTTCATCTGCTGTTGCTGTGTCGGATATTCATGCTCGGTGCGCCATGGACTTTTTATTCGCCAGGCCTCTCGGCCTCTGCCGTCTGCCCCCGAGCTCTGGCACTTAGGGTCCCCAGCACAGCTTAATTTAAATGCTGTTGGAGCGCCGCGCGTACTCCAGGAGGCTCATGTCGTCGGGTCGCCAGGCGCTGTGCGTGTAGCGCTCGACGACCGCGGGCATCTCCTTGCCCTTCCACGGCACGGGCACGGGGAAGTTCTTCACGGTGCCGTGCGCGAGGACCTGGGGGTACTCCGCTGCGGCGAGCTGGAGCCACATCTCGGGCTCGAGCGGGTGGAACTCCGTGAGGATGCGGCGGCTGATGGCGTAGTCGGAGGCCTCGTCGTTGAGCCACTCGGAGGAGAACTGGTCGGAGAACTTGGCGGTGTAGGAGGAGACGTAGCGCAGGAGCATGCCGCGGCCATCGGAGGTCTGCACGTCCATGTGGGACTTCATGCCCGCGATCACGGCAGGCATGTAAGCGCGGAGCTTGTGGTGCAGGTCCCTGGCGGTGTGGTGGAGCCTCAGCGTCTTCCCCCGCTCGTCCCAAGTCGATTCCTCTTTGCGCTCAGGCCACGGATGGGAGCCGTGCGTAGAGGTCTGGGAGCCCATGACGATGTGGTAGAGCTGCTCCTGCTCCTCGTCGTCTGGGATGGTGGCGGAGACCTTGCTGGGGAGATCGGTCGTGGCGACCTTCTCCAGCCAGACGAGGCAGTGGACGTGGGGGCGGCCGCTGCCGTGGTAGGCGTGCCGCGCGTTGGGCCCGCCGCGCTTGCGCTTGCCGTCCTGGAACTCGATGCGCGCGAACTGCGTGATCACGCGCTGCGTGGGCTTGCCCTCGGCGTCCTTGCCAGCAAGCACGTGGTGTGTCCACGCCGACGACTCCCTCGAGTTGACCTTCCCCTGGGTGCCCGTCAGCAGCCCGACGGTGGCCTGGGTGAGCACGTGCGACAGGTGGTAGGTCTCTGCGGCCGGCAGCCAAGTGCGCGACCGCAGCGTCCGCCGCATCTCGTCCTCGACCCAGACGTGGAACGGCGTGGACCACTCCAGCGGCGACAGGGTCACGAACAGGGTCGGGAAGCCAAGCTGGCGCTGCAGGTCGATGAGGGCGAAGTGGTAGGTCCGCCAGTACTCGGGGCTGAAGGACATGCCAGCCAGCGCCAGGCGCATGGGCACCTTGGCAGCGTGCTCCTTGCCCCCCAGCGCCGTCCAGAGCCAGAGGTCGTAGACGAACTGTGCGAGCTCGGTGTCGGCGCCGTAGCCGATCACGGGAGAGAAGACCTTCGCCGTGTAGTCGCGCTTGAGCGACTGGCGCTTCTTGCCGTCGGCCTCCGCGTCGTCGCTGTCGGCGGAGTCGTCGGTGTCGTCGAAGTGCGCAGCCCGTCGCGCGGCCCGCGTGCGCACCACCCGCCGCTCGTGCATCAGGCGGACGTAGGTCTCGCACATGGACACCCTCGGGTACAGGTGGGGCCAGAGGGCCGTCTCGATGCCGAGCTGCTCCACGAGGCGCATCGCGAGGCGGCGCTTCTTCTGAGAAAGGTCGTTGCGGTTCCTGCGGAGGAACCTGTTGTGCAGGCGCATAATGGCGAAGTACGCGCTCTTCTGTGGGTGGGCCAGGTAGTATTCCGTGAGCGTGGCCCAGCTGGAGAAGTCCTCCTCGGCGGGGTCGTCGTTCGCCTCGAGGTACTCGAGGGCGTCCATGGCCCTGCGCTGGTGGCGCTCGGGGAGCTCGCTCACGGCCGTGAGGACGTCGATGGCCTTCCAGCGGAAGCCGATCATGTCAGTGTGGACCCTGTATCCGTGCGCGGCCCGCGCATGCGGCCCGATAGACACCTCCATCGGCCTCAACGCCTCGAGTGCGGCCACGCTGAGGTGGCGCAACGGCTCGGGGATGTCCTCGATCTGGACGGCGGGGTAGCCCACTCGCTTCTCTGGCGGGCTGGCGCAGTACTTGCACTTGTTGATCCAGGCGCTGCGCTGGCCATCCTTGCGGCCCTTCTTGCGCTCCGCGTCGGGGAGGCGCATCATCGCCGCCGCCACGTCCGCGGGCGCGAAGGACCTCTTCTCCAGGCGCTTGCAGAACTTGCACATGCCCCAGAAAGCGAGCTCCGCCCACTTGGTGAAGGCCACGGCCTGCGGCTCCGCCCAGTCCTCGACGTCGTCGTCCAGGGCGGTCTTGAATTTGTTGCGCCGGAACTTCCTGTCGTCCCTGATCCAGGTGGGGTAGGCCCTGCGCGTCTGCTTCTTCTGCCGCGGCACCACGCTCACGCGATGCTTGAGCGCCTCCTGCCACTCGCTCTGGAGGTCGGTCGCGGGCACTGGGTTGTCCTTCTTCCGTTGGCGATGAAGCGCGCGCTCGGCGTTGGCTTTGTACTTGTCCCGCTTCTCCTGGCCGAGTACCGCGGCGATGAAGTCGAGGGCGCCGTCGACGAGGTCGGGGCGATCGTACTGCATGAGGCTCTTGAGCGCGCTGGTGATGTCCTGGCCCTTGCGGACGGAGTCCCGCTTGCGGATGACTTCACCGTCGCAGAACGTGCAGCGCACATCGCCGCGTCCTGGGGTCACGCGAGCCCGCTCGCCAGGGCGCCCGTCCGTGGCATAGGCGCAAAGCCCTCCGTCTTGTTTACCAGGGCACAGATGGTTGCCGTATTCTCGTTTCTTCGGCTTCGGCTGCTCCTCCTGCTCGGGCAGCGCCTTGCTGGCAGGGCGCTTCCGCGCTGCCCTGGACAGCGGTGGCTCCTCGGCAGCATCCCCCTCGCCATCGCTTCCTGCGTCAACTAGCTGCGTGTCTTGCGCGTCCTCCAGGTCGAAGAGCGGCAGGTCGTCCTCGCCCAGCACCTGCTCGTCGCCGTCCAGGTCGTAGCCCTCGGGTTCGAACAGTTCGTCCTCGCCCCACGGCTGCATCATCCCCTCGGAGATAAGCTGGTCGACCCACTCCTCCTGTGCCTTCCGTCTCTCCTCCGCGGTAAGCTCGTCGGACCCTGCGGCCTCCTCGGCCTCCGAGTGCGCCGCGGGCGTGTCGGTGCCTTGCGCGGCCTCGCCAGCGTCGGGCGAGGCGGTGCCCTCCTGGTCCCTCAGCGCGTCCTCCCAGAAGCGACGGTGGGAGGAGTCGTCGGAGTCGTCTTCCCCGCCGTCGTCGATGAGGCCGAACACGTTGCCCAGCTCGTCGACGTCATCGCCCTGCGACCCGTCGGACTCGTCTTCGCTGCCACCAGACGCCCCTGCTTCCAGGTCGTAGAACTGCGCCCGGGGTTTTGGCGGCGGTCGGGCAGCCCTGGGCATGTAGTAGGAGCAGGCGAGGATCCAGTGGGGCGACGAGTGGCCGTCTGGACCAGTAATCATTTGGAACGCAACCCTGTACAGCAGCGGCGCGCCAACGTCGCCGAACTCGATGACAGGGATGGGCGCGCCACCGCCGACGGTCGGCGCAGCATGCACAACACGACCGTTCACGGACTTGGCGTAGATCTCCAGCGCCTCCGCGTCGACGACGTCGTCGGCCGCCGCGTAGTTCTGCTTCCGGAGGTAGCCCACTGGATCGTCGAGCTCGATGCGCCCCTGGAGGACCCTGGCGTAGAAGGGGAGCTCGTCTTCGCCAGGATACCCTGCGTCCCCCGCCAACCGCAGGCGCGCGGCCTTCTGGTGCAGACTGTCGTCGTCCCCCATGGCGCCAATGATCCTGTCCACGAGCGCCTTGGCCTTCTCGCGCTCGCTCGCCTCCCTGTCGGGGTCATCGTGGATGAAGCCGTCGACGTCCCTCTCACGCATCCACGCCCGCGTGTCGCGGGCGGCGAGCGCGCAGTAGGAGAGGCACCTCCCGTCTGGCGGCACGGGCACGTTCAGGTCTGGCTGCCGAGGCGGAGCCCGACGGACTTGTTGCGGCCCCGCAGCGACGGAGCTGGCGGGGTCGGCTGCATCGACCTCGTCCATGGCTGCCGAGGGTCACTCCCGCGCGGTGCCTGGGAGCGCCACGGGCCTCTTCTGCGCCCCTTCTGCCCTTGCCCGCGGGGTGGCCTTGGTCGATCATGTACCTCTCGTAGTCAGCCTTCTTGTACCTCCCGTCAGGATCCCAGCCGTCTGGGACTGCCCGGTAAGTCGCCGTGCCTTCCTGGCCTTCGATCATGAGGTACCTGATAGTGGAGCTGAACAGCGTGACGTCCTCCACGGTCATTGCCCACGTCTTCGCGTAAGGCGGATGAACTTTCTCGGCAGGCCACCTGTGCCTCGGGCGCAGCTCGTTCCACTCGGCGTCGCCCATGATCTGGAAAGGGTCCTCGCCGAGCGTCACGCTGCCCCAGATCTGGCCCTTCTCGCCCACGAGCCGCTTCCCGATGTAGCGCTGGTGCCGAATCTCCAGCGTCTTCGCGCCCTCCAGCATCAGGTCGAACCTCAGAGGAGGGCCGTTTGAGACACGGAAGTTTGCCCTCGGGGTCACCCACTATCGGCACGGCTGA